AAAAAAAAAAAAAAAGCCCACTAGATCAATAAAACATACCGTTCCTTATAACCTGCTGCGGCAGTGAAGTATTCGCAAGTGCAAAACGCTGGGCTATAGAAATATTGGACTCCGCACTACTGACAATGCATCTATAAAAACAAAAAACATGAGGTGTTTTTAAGTCTAATGGCTTAGCAGGTTTAGGTTTGAAGAGACATAAACTATCAGCTTTAAGAGATCTGTGAGAATGAAAAAAAAACTGCTTCTACCTAGCCGAATCATCACTATCAGGCGAAAGCGCTGATGTATTGTCATGCAAAAGTTGGTTCTCCAGTCTCAAATTTGCTAAATCAAGGCATCCAATCCCTGGAGGAACAACACGCTCATAATGATAAGGGTTAACACATACCTGTATGAAAAGGAAACAAGCATAAGTGGCCTAATAACCAGAAATCGAAGAAATTAGCCACTATCATAAACTTAGAACAATAAAAACTGCACATACACGACAATTATACAGCCCTATACAAAACATTAAAAATAATATTCTATCCAATGAATAACAGAACCAATTACTAAATTAAGACTCGCTTCTAAAATAAAAAAATAAAACTTACAAGATCGCATTTAAGATCAAATGCACACTGACAAATAGATAGATGCTTCAATTCATTTTTATGTAAATCTGGCCATCTCCATATTTTTGCATAAACAACATGCGGAAAACCTTTTCTACCAGCAACCTAAGAAACCAAAAAAATTTGAAAGGTACGTCTGAAAAAATTTAAAAAAAAAGTCCCAAACTGAAAAAACTATAACCTGAAGTCGACCATCAAGAGTCCTTTGAATTGTGATACATCTAACCGCCGATTTTCCTCCAGATGTAACAGCAGTAATCAATGCGTCCAATTCATCTCTTTTATCTTTTAATTTTTTAATCAAACTCTCAATTGCTTTTCGACTAAATTCTTCTTCGCTACCCTGAAATCTTTCACAATGAAGTACAAAAAACTTTGCATTCCAAGTTTAACTAAAAAAATACCACTCCTAACAATGTCAAAAAATCATAACTGATAAAAGAATTCAAAGAAATTAAAGTGACCAGGACATACAAAACCTAGCACTAAGCAAATGATTTTACAGCCAACTGCTTTTAAACAACATTTCTAGAGCAGAAAAATACAAATGAAAAAGCTGCCGTTTTTCTTTGAAAAATAGCAAAGAAAAGATGAGAAACCGTTATTAATTTCCTTAATCTTTCTCTAAAAACTTACTAGATCAGAAAATTAATGTCATACGTACCATATGATAACGCATTAAAAATTGCGTTATAGTAGCACAGGGATCTGAGCTAGACGGATGTTCATGTACAACAGAAACAGATGGTTGGTTTGAACTCGTCACTGACTGCATGGCCAGTTAAACACTGTGCTCAGGATCAACTACTACCAACCAAAGATTGAATCAATACTTGACGTAAAGTCATTTACTTCTCTATTCGTCGCTTATGTGTAAAGAACCACCTCATTGTCGCTAACACCTTAAAAAACTAAACGGTCTATACTATTAAAAAATTATGTCCAATGAGAACGAATTTAAAAAACAAGACATACTTAAACTTATGTACATGTACCCTCAGAACAAACACTAACATGAAGAAAATATACCAAAATAGAAAAAAACCACAACAAAAGCCTCAACATTTCCAGAAAAAAATTAGAAATTAAATATAAAAAATAGATCTTCTGCATAAAAATTAAACAACTACACCAAAGAAAACAATAACTTAAACCTTAAAGAATATCAAGAGAAGAGAGCAATACAAGTACCATCAAAAATACTATAGCTGTTTCGATTTGCAACTACAAGATTCAGGGCAGGAAACCACTATAGCTGAATAGCGGTTGAAAATAACGTCAACAGTGACCAAACATTAAAAAATTGCATTCAGTCTTTATAGAAGCAGATAATAAATTTGCAAGCCTTCTGTAGAAAAGTCAATTTCTTTATACTTCATTTTGCAGACTCCAACTTTAATAGCTAGCTCATATTTTCTGATTCGTCAATTTCCTTCACCAATCCAACAGAGTCTGTCTAAATGAATACAACAGGTCACAGCAGACCGTAAAATCAACTAAGGCAAACTTCATCAATTATAACGACCATTACTATTTACCAGAAGTTTCCATTGAAGGATACTGCAGTAAAACGTGGTTCTCCACCACCTACAGTTTATCTGGTGTAGAAATAAAAATGAAAGCGTCATCTAGTTACTTCTCAATTTAAAATCGTCAACAGAGCGGATAACATAAAATCCTCAAACCATGTCCGAACTATACCGGAAATCTACTGTTTTTCACTCTTCAAAACTAATTTAACGAAAAAAAAAACAGTGTTAGCCTTTGATTTCATCACAATAGATTGAAAAACAAAAATTACTACGAATAAAAAAAAAAAAATCAAAATTTCAAAATCAGAACCTCACACAAAAACAGAACTTCAAACAGATTTGCTCCATCCACAATTTTCAAACTATACGTCATAAACAATTGAACAAGACACCTAAGGCTTGACTGAAAGAGATAAACATCTCAGAAAAAACGTGTTCACAAAAGAACGACCTTTATACCAGCAAAATTAAAGGGTCATCCATGTAACTAAAATTTTCTTTCTCCCATAGACAAAAAAGGGCAATGAAAAAAAACCCAAAAACCCTTTTCTACTTTGTTCAAGATACCTGAGCAAGAAGGTAAAAATAATCGTAAAACTAAATCAAAAAAATGTCTAAAAAACAATTCACTTACACAAGAAAAAAAAAAAAAAATGTAACAATACCAAATACATATACATTTGCTCCACCCCGTAGTCCTTGTTTTGTAGTTAAGAATTCGTCCGCAATATTTACCTCCAGACGACTAAACCAGACAAAAAGAAACGGAGAGAAGAATGAAGTTAAACATGACTATAACACCCCAACTGCAAAACAATACTGATTTTACGGCTTCAAACAAGAGTATATTTAGTCCCCACACCGATATGCGAACAACAATTACAACATCAGCAAAAGAGCAACCACAAAAACAATAGCGAAAAGGTCATGATGTATGATCATTTGTAACTACAGAACATCGACAAGCGCTTCAGGACCGAAATTTCAAAAAAAGACGAATTCTTAAATGCAATTTCCAAGCCGATATTTCTTCGAGGCATTGAGAAGGGATGGGGTTCGCTTGAATTAGTAAAGGAGCGCTGCTAATATTGGGCTGCATATCTTGCCTTTATGGCATAATACTTCTTCGCATCTAGAACAAATGATAGCTCAAGGAGTTGAGAAAAAGCATTGCTGCTTCCGGTTGTTCTTTCGTTGATCTGCTGAAGAACACCAGTAGCATTTAATTGCATAAATCGGAATTTTTCGCATTAAAACATTGAAACTAACAAGGTGTTTTAAAGCTGTTTAGTGATAGCGTTTAGTGATGATCAAAATCGAGAGGATAATGGTAACAGATGACTTGCAAAGTTCTCCGCTGAACTGTCCTATTTGATTTGACAAAAAATGTTGAGGGTGGAGTTGAATGGTTTTTTGAATTTTTATAGTTTTTCAAGGATTTATCATTTACCTGTACAGAATAAATACCATTACAATTAACATCGCACTAATCCTAAGAAATTGATAAAACTATTTTTAGTAAACACAGAAAAGATCAACAGAATAACTCTAAGAAACTGATAAAACTATTTTTAGTAAACATAGATACCTCCGAACAACTGACAAGTGAAGGTTGCTTTTTAGCGACGTCTGCTCCAGGAACCTTCCGCTTAATAAATAAGCCCTTAAATCCTGGGGCAAATGATCACTTAGTCTGATCTGAAAAGTACGGTTGATAAAGAAGAAATTCAAAGTTCAACTAAGAGGTTTTTTCTAGAGTCAGCATATAATGCAGTATTTAACGTATTATTCAGTGCAGTTTACTTTGCTGACCAATGACTATACAAATTTTAGCAATCGCTTGTTTATAACTTCTGGCATTCCACAGTAACACTTATCGCGGTAATCCTACACACCTGAAAAATATCTTCACACATGTTCCCAAATATGGACTGAACTGGTCGGGAACAGCCTTTTGAGGTTTTCTGGATTTTTCCAATTTATTACCTTTGTTTTCAAGCTGGACTGGCATAATTCAGTGAACCGAAACCTTGTCCGTTTTAAAATTCTCAATGGAAAAACGATCATCTTTGTTCTGAAAATCTTGAAAAGAAAGTACAGATTTCAGCAGAATGAAATATTTTTTCATACTTTCAACACACTACACCGTTTTCAAACTTTTTTGTGAGCCATACTCTTTTAAAGAAAAAATTTTGCCGGTGCTGCTACCAAATCGTCGTCTTTTTCTGCAATTTGCTCTCAACTTTATTGAGCTAGGAATAAATGAAATTCGTGTATACAGCAAGTTGTCATTTTCAAAAATCTTGTAGGGGGAAAAATGAAACAGTTTTAGGGAGGATTTTGCTTACTGCTCTCATTTGACTAAAACTTTTGAAAGAATCCTTAAACTTCACGCTGTTCAACCAGCATCCAGAGCCTTTATTGCCACTCTATCAACATTAAGGTTTCCATCGCCTCTTGGTACCTTCATTTTCTGCAAGCGGTGTATCGTCTGAGTTGGGAATCACTTGTTTTTCTCATGCAGTATCCAACGCACTCCAGCTGTACCATCTTCACGCGAACATCTACTAACAGATACTGTTTTTTTTTAAGCAGCTCAAAGTATGTTCATTTAGCAGAGAATTTATTAAAAGACGGAGTAAAAGTTGGCATCTTGCATTTTTCTGTCCCCCACTCATCGAAGCCGTTCAAGCCAAAAAAATTGATGCAAATTTTGAGATTTCTCCACTGCTACATGGTTCACTAATATTCAAGATTTCTCAGTTTAAATTCCAAATTGCTCCATGTTTCCCAACCAAGCAGTAAAGTTTTACTTCCTATTTCCTCCTTACTCGACTATTAGCTTCATTTAGAGTTTTTGTCCACTGCAGTATGGAAACGAAGGCACTGTAGCTGTTCAACTTTTTTCCATAATTTTTAAGACTTTGATGTGCTTAAAAATTGATTTGAAGTACCAAATTTCAACCAGAATCGATTTCCTGTTAGCAGTCCAAACACTAGGCATTGTTTAAAAATGGAAGGAAACATAAACAAGGATAAGACTTTTCTGCCTACATCAATTAATGAACAGGACGGCAGTATCCAGACAGCACCAAAAAAGAACACAGAAATGAAAAGTATAGGCCATCACAATATTGACAATTTTGGTACAAAAAGAAATAGTAGCATTTCGATTTTTGAATCTGAAATTATTATAGATGGTTACTGATACAAATTAAAAAAGAAAAGAAGACAAACACCGTCTAATATCTTGCAATGCTAAAAAAAGCTGTCACACCCCGGAAGAAAAGTGCTTTCAAAAATCGTGTTACTATGTTGTAAACTACAAAGTTCACCTGTCTTCACGAGAGGCAGGCAACAACTGATTGTTTGGAATGGGTTAGAATAACAGCTTGAACAATCTCAAATAAACAATTTAGCAGGCAGCCGGAGAGCTAATCAGATAGGCAGCACCTATCTAGTAATTTCGACGGGTCTAATAAGCCAGTCGATTAAGTAATACACATATATTATAGAGGAATAGAAAACATAGAATCTGAAGTGGAGAAGTAAATACCCGACATCAATGACAATAAAGGAAGATGCAGTGCCATATGAAGAATACCATCCTCCGCTTATGAAAATATGATACTTTAAAAAATTTCTAAGGCTGAAAAGAAAAGTATTCTATTTATTTACTAATTGCTGCTGTTTTAGAAGAAAAAAGCATGCAAAAAAAACAAAAAAAAAATTTATTCTATGATTTTGCTGGCACTTTCGTTTGAGTGTAGTTGCTGCAGTGATGCAAAAGCTGAAGAAGAAAATTTAGTTTTTAAAATTTTGTGGTCTGCCGGCTTAACGTTATCCTTTGTTAAAATGCTGTGTATTCTATTTATTGCTTCATGACATCTGACATTTGCCTTCTATCATTTAGCAGTAGGCAGTATAGCTAAACACAACAGACTTCCGGATACATTATCATATATATGTATTTGTATTTGTATTTGTAATATACAACATATAATATATTATATTTTTCTACTCCAATTAGTTAGTTTCTTAGGATCATGTTTCATCTTTTAGGAATACTAGTAAGGTTACGATCACTTGTGCCTCGTCTTCAGGCTGTCAAATCGTACACTGTCGCTTAAATACACACTTTCCTGTTACCGTAAGCCGTACCGGTGTTCTAAAAAGACTAGTTCCAAGTTAACAGAATAGAAGGAGGGAGAGAGGAGAGTACTTTAATGCAATCCTAAAATAAGGTTTTAGGTATATAACCCGATGACAACAGATTAAAGCAATTCAAGAGAAGTCAGTGTCAAATTTCAAATGAACTCAGAAATGGTGTGATAACGCGTCTGAAGCTAGCCATTTCAACGGTTAAGTGAATGTCTAATAAGAATGGGAGGGCGTAGGAAAAAACGGGCAGTTATACTGTCAGAAAGCAATCATGTGTCAAGGATTTTTTACTCAATGATTAATTTTTAGTGTAAAACGCAGCATCGGTCGATACCAGGGCTCTGTTCCCTCGGTCTCGTACACAGTGAGTACCAAGCACTCTCTTCCCAACTAAAAAATTCTGTGACGATCTGGCGCAGTCCGGAATACAATCGCTTAAGCAGATTCCAAGTAACTACGCAATTTAATTCTTGTGGCAATGTCTTTGTAAATTCTGCTTGTAAGTGGGATTTCCCATATTTTTATACACGCCATAATTCTTTATTTTTCATAATTTTCCCAAAGCGTATGGTAGTTTTACTAAAACCACGACCTTTATCCCGTGACCGATAAGCACAACTGTAAACTTGTCAGATAGCTTATACAAAAACAACACTTTTATTATTTCCTTAGAAATATTAACAGTGCGATGATGTTACAAAAACACCAAAGAACTAGTTACAACAAAACAAATGACCACAGGAACATATTATATATGATACCTGAAGTCCACAAATAAACATTTTCTTTTTTTATTCCTTGTTCAAAATAGATTAAAGTCAATAGACTAGAGATCCGTCCTCATTAAAGATGTTTAAGTAGGTTATAAATAACGTGTACTCTCTACTACTCAAATGAAAAACTGGTCGTAGTTGCTTCCCTCACGATTTGACTGCAGATATATGAAAAAAATGCTCTTTAAATGTCACCTAAAGTAACTTTCTGCCTTATGCTGCCTAATAAACGTAACACTCAGATTAAAAAAGATAGCGTTTACCGCTCACTCAAATTAAGACTGCAAAATGATGCTGAAAGAGTACTGAAAATGTCACAGTACACGGAGGTACAATGACATTTCTAACCTACTAGATTCTTATCAAGTTTTTTTTGATTTAGCTGGTGTAAAATCTAAACAGCCCACAAAATCAACAACTCAGGAACTTAATCACTGTTACTAGCGTAACGCTCTTTCCGTTTTTTTTTTGGTGGCCCTGCCATATTTAAAAATTATTAGCTTGATTTCTAACTCACAAGACAAATAAAAACCAAAAAATCTTATATGCACAATACAGATATAACCGGTAATCTACACGTATTTATATGGTAAAACTCTTTTGACGGTTGAGAATTTGAAGAAAGATCACAACTGAACATCACGTAACAACAACCATATTACAAAAACCAAACTTTAATTTAAAACAAGGTGACTGTCACTCTCGTTGTACTTCGCGTCAAGTAGTAGCTGGGAGATTAAGCATGGAGTCAAGAAATTGAAGTCCCCTAAAAAAAAACTCGGAAGATTACGGTCTGCTTATACGAAAATTTTTAAAATTTTGCATACAGAAGTTGATATCAAGCCTTATTCCCTTGCCTATTCTTTTCCTTTCTTCAAGTAATTTCTCATTTTGAACACTTGTGGTCAGTCTTTACAGAAACAATAACCGATTTGAAGACAATGTTATATCGAATAACAAGACATATTAAACAGAAAAACCCGGTAAACAAACTTTCTATAACACCACAAACTGAAAGAACGACAAGCATTACTGTAGCAAAGACTAGATAAATAGAACCCAATGAATGCACTCTACACTGCAGCAAATTTAGAGTCGACTAAACCAGTTTAAGATGTCGTTCTTGGAGATTTGCAACCTAATCCTCCATCGTTGGGCAAGTCATATAAAAGAACCTTATTTGAGCACTTTGACGAGTAGCACCAAGCTATTAGATGTGACATCCTTACAAAAGCTAACCTTGGAAAAGAAAACTACTTTGTTAGCCTTAACAAATACTCGATCAAATTTCTTCACACAATTTTTTTGCTAACCTGCTCTGCCCCACTGGTCCTAAGTCTTCTGCTATCCTTTTTTAGTGGAAATCCTGTCATCTCCTTCCACTAAATACCTTAGGCTTCCAGTCTCTTCCAGTTCATATGCGTATATTTGCAATAACTATACCACCATTTAGTTTCTCCCAGAACATTTAAACCACTCTCACACTGTTTAATGAAAGAACCAAGTAGCTATCTTCTACATTATTTCCGATTCATGATCATTCCCTTCTTTAACTATCTGGTTCTGACTTTCCCAGATTAACCATAAACCATTACTTATAGCTTCCAAACCCTCCAGTGCCTCTAAGGACATCTTTTACTACCACCGCTGGGCAAGAAATATACATAAATAAAATAATCATTAATATAAAAACCAACTCAATAAGAAAATAATTGCAATAATTGCACACTTGAAAAATATACGGACTTAGTTAGAAATTTTCCAGCCTTCACTAAAACTTCAAAACCAATTAATAAGAAGCAAGTCCTAAAATCCATAGTGAAATTCCTTCACCACCTTGAGCGTACTGATTTCCCACCAGAAACCGTCAAATGACACAATATTCCTAACCCTCCAGAACAATCCTGAATGCAACATGAAGCAAAAAATTACCACTAAACATCCATTCACCTTTCCGTGACTCTAAAGGTTATAGATGTTGTAAAACCAAAAATTAGTGAGGTACTTTAAGCAGTAATTTTTTCACATGAACTGACGTTTTGAGAGTGGAAAACAACCTGCAAATCTTAATCTCAATCCAGCAAGGGCACTCTTCAACAGTTTTTCTGTCATAGTCTGCTCCAAACCCTTTGATAAATGAAATTGTTACAGTGCATAAACCCTGTAGAACATCGACTCCTACGTCTAATATCTGCAAATATAAGCAATAAAGGAATATTTAAAGATGAATAAAGTGCGAAAATATGTTTCAACAACTGCAACTTCTTACAACAAAGAACAGAAGCGCTCTAAAGATGGCTTAAATAACATACTTTGCGTCTGCTTTCTTCACTTAACTGAAGTACATTTTCAGCATCGTTTGCCACTATTTGCTGGTCTCTCCAAGCCAACAATTGACTGATACAATACTGCAGATCAAAGACCTAAAATTTCAGACTCTTCTCGCTATAAAAATAGAGTCCATTGGAACAAGACTGAGTTTTGAAGTGTTCACACTTTGTGAATAACTGTCGGAAGCGCTTAGGCAAAGTTAACAATAAATGTTAGAGAGGGAAGAAACAAGCATAAGAGGCAGAGTAAAATTAAGTAAAGTTAAAACTTGAAACAAAAATTAGATTGAAAATCACAAGTTACTGGAAGTACAGAACCTTTTTAATGTAACATCTAAGCTTGTGCAGCCGACAAATAAGGACGGTTGAGTTGATTTCCAAACCCCAAGTAAAACTCTAATTCCACTAGCAAAATAAAAAATTAAGACAAAGTTATGATGAAAATTATTCACTTTCAACTCAGCAGCAGGTAATACCCTGTATATATCGCATCCAGATGCCTTGTTCGGAGAATTAAGAGTTAAGAAACTGCTCTGTGCAAATACTGAGTTCTTCTCTAGAAGGTTCTGCATATAAACGTCTCCATTATCTTTTAATTCCAAAACAATACCTTTTGCGAGTGATCCTCTGAAACATATTCTCACGTTATAAATCCAAGAAAATCAGAGAATTTCTTCACTGGCAATAACAGGGTTCAACAACAAGGATGATATGCTACCTGACTCTCTCTACAACTGTAGGCCTTTCTAGATTTGGTAAAGTATTCAAACAAAAACGGCCGGGTATTGTATCGTCGAAGCCACCATCAACAAAAACCTTAGAAGTGTCAGCCAAAAAAGTTTTTCCGACTTTTGTAGTGTGTTCATGGTAAGAAATCATACACCAATGAGTTGGAGCTAGAAATGTTCTTCATAAAATCGGAGTAAACTAGAAACGAAGTTACATACAAAACTTACGCGGTTGTGCCGAAAAGTCGTCTACATTTAAACTAATATTTTTCAGTTCCATCATACCCACCTCTAAATTTAAGGAATATTAGCATGATCAGAAACGATCAAAAAGCTAACGTTTTGAGAAAACTGGTAAAAGCGCTGAATGTTGGAAAATAAGTTAAAATTATTCTATCAAATAAAGAAAAACAAACGAGGTTCCATTCCGTAAAAATTTGGAAATGAGGAAGGCATCAATGGTCGTATTTGGTTTGAATTAGCTGAAAAGTAAATATCTACACAAATCTATTCTGTGAATTCAAGCCTTATCTGTTACACAACGCTCAACGAGGATAATAAGAATACACCGAGAGAAATCTATCAAGTTAATTTCAATTCATCATCCCCTCAGTGTCCCTGCAGGAAACTTCCGTCCAAACAGGTGATCAAGACGACCAAAAACCCTTGAAAGTACTTTTTAACTCACCTAAAACTATTTATTTTTGTACCCTGACAACAGTTTCTGGCACAAAGAAAAATAATTATTAAAAGTCTATAATTTCAATAACTTTCAATAACGAGCCCCTTGAGGAAAGTTAATGGAAGGCGATACTGCTAATACCTATAACCACTAAAGAAAATCTGGGGAAATATTAAGAAAAAGCTCATACTCAACTATCGTCTGTAAGAGCAAAGAGTAACTATACACCGCTTAAATTATACAAACTCAGATGCAGTTCCATAGAAAGAGAACCCAACTTCACCTTGTTCAGCTCCGATAAAGGATAATCTCTTCAAAAGCAATAAAAATTTATTTGCCAGATCCGTTCTCAATATTAGGAAGAAACTACAAATCAGAAACATTGCTGAAGTGTTTCTCTAGAAAAAAGAAAAGCTGCTACCATGATGTAAAAAATTTTACTGCATTTATTGGCATTCAAGGTGAGAAAATGACTTAGTAATAAAACATAAACAAAAAAATGTAAGAAGCCCTAAATTGTTTTAATGACCTTCAGTATCCTAAAACCCTTCAGCTGAATGTCCTGCGAAAGATTTATCACCTAATCGTAATTTGATGATGAAACATTAGTTCATTTTCTTTCAAGAGCGCGTCAACTACAATAAAAACAACAAAATAAAAGTTTACATGACGGCATCCCTGGATTGAACAGAACTGGCGGAGTTGTAACAACAGGTTCATGAGGGGTGACAGGACAGCTCCTTGGGTCAACAGTACCAGGCACACATGAAACGTTCCCAGCCTCATTTTGAAAAGAAGGGTCTAAATGGACGCAAATATTACATTTAAATGAAGTAGAAAGAACTTACTAAAGATAAAGACTGAAAGTAACTCCAACAACAGTGAGGTTACTGTATAAGTTGAATTGTGAGCTAAACAACACAATTTCTTTACAGGATAAAACAAACAAACAGAAACTACAGTGCTTTTGTCATTCAAGTGCCTACTAATATTCAAGCAAAAAAGTTTACTTACGAAGCGTAAGAGGCAAAGATATTTGCGACGGTCGATCCATTACAGGATACCAAGACGCCGTTGTGGTCTGAGTTTCCATTAACTGTGGTCCAGAATGAGAATCTGTACAGGCTAAAGCAGAAGAATATTATAGCAAAAAATCACTTACTTAAAATAAAAGTAGAAGAAAAAAAATATTAAAAATATGCTATCCCAAATAACACTTCTCACCAGGAAGTCGTACATTTGGAGGAGTGTATGAAGTAGAAGCATAAGCAAGTTTTTGTGCTACCCCATCATTTCCATCCGAAGGTCGCATTGGTGCCCTTGAAGATGATACTTTTGCGTTTTATTTAAGCCAAAAGACAAAAGAAACTGCGCTAGACTGGATTTAGACTCCTGAACGTTATGCACTAAAGTAACTAAAAAAAGTTATACTTTGGCGAATCTTCTCGACTAGGCGAAAGAGGATCCTCTTGAGACGAACGCTGCTCAATTTTCAGCTTTGACAAATCTAAAGATCCAATCCCAGGAGGAACTACTCGCTCATAGTGGTAGGGATTAACACAAACCTGTAATTACATCTTTAACAATGCATGAAAAGCCTCAAGTTCCAAAAACATGCATATTACCTGTGGTACCCGAAAAAAGTGACCAAAAACTTTCAGCAAATGAAGACAAAAAAAAGGGGAAGAAAAGAGAACAAAAGTTCTAGAGAAAAATCTTTCGTATATCAGATGCTCACAGGGTTCCGGTAATGACCATTCTGCTGTAATCTTATGTGGAGACTTTTAAAATCTATTGCCGACCGTCACCCTCCTTTAAACTGTGTCACTATTTAATTCAATTCTCCCATTCTCTTCATCGCTTCGCAACCGTTTCAAACCAATTTATCACTGTCATCCTTCCCAATCACCACTTGTTTACATTCAGCGACAATTCACACTAATATTTTTTATTACTGGTATCGCTTCAATTATGTGCTTTTTGTTCTGACTCTAAAAACCATTTGTAATCTATCTCATACTCCATATAAAACGTTCAGGTTCAGAGAAACTATGCAGATGCTGAAACAATTACCTACGCAACTGTCTCCGTCCATGGTACCTGTTAGCTAAAAATCTTTTTATCTTCCCCTGCTACTTCTTCCAAGCAAAATAAAAAACACTTCTAGAAACATTTGTTTCTGAGCGGATCTCAATCGCACCCCCGATGAAAGCCACTGATACCAACTCTACATAATCGAGTCGAATACTATCATGAAACGCATTACGTTTCGCGATAAAAATGCTGATTGAGTTTAAATTAGCAGCCCTAATATGTTTTAAAATTTATTCAGAAAAAAACGGAAAACCCTTCGGATCTTTTCACCTTATTTGCAATTCAATGACGCTAATATAATAGCTTGAAAGCCAGAAATATTCCACCAAAAAACAGCAAATATCATTACCCATGAATGAAAGTTTTTCATTTTGAAGTTTCAAGGGATCGAATTAGGAATGGAAAAATGTACTTAACTTCTAGGAGGAAACACGACAAAGGATCACAAAAACATAACAACTGCGCCTCTCTCCCCTTTCCCCCCTCCTCTCCAATATCCATTAAAAAAAGGCAGAAGAATACAACACTCACTTTTAATTCAATCACTCCCTTGCTTTTAATACCTTATCCACCTAACACCTCTAGTAAAGGAGATAACAGCAAACTCTTGTATTTTTATAATTAATAGAAAAGTACAAATATTCCTACTAATTTGAGGCAACTTCTAACTATATGAGAAGAATACTCTAGCAATTCTTGGCAGTAAGTCTTAACTGCGTTCTTCACTGTAACCACCCTCCGTCACTCTTGTCCGTGATTATCCGTCTCCCGGAAGGCTCTAAATGAGCTGTTTTCCAAGCCCTTTAACTTCTGCACAACAAAGAACGGATCTGTACGACTCCCACACCCCTCTGTCAATGTGAATTTAAAAAGCTGATCAATTCCAGAAAAGCGATGAAATTAAAATTAACTTATTTGCTTTTCTCACTTAAAATAAAACTAAGTAGACGAAAGCGCAAAGAAAAAGAGCAAAAAATAATAATAATCGATATGACTAACATGTTCACACTTTAAATCAAACGCGCATCGACAAATCGGTAAATGTTTCAGTTCATTTTTGTGTAAGTCAGGCCATCGCCATATCCTCGCATAAACAACGTGAGGAAAACCTTTTCTGCCAGCGACCTGAAAGCCTGCTCACTTTTCCCACAGCAAGTTTACTTGAGTTATATGACAAGCGAATATATGAACGATGGCAATTAAAAACGTGCACTTCTCTTTATAGGTTTATGCACAATAATGATACCAATAAAACGAAGTGATTTTCTGAAACAGCAAGAAAACCTGTAGGCGCCCATCCAAAGTACGTGGAATTGTGATACAATTTGCAGCTATTTTTCCGTGCGAAGTTATCGCCATTATCAGAGCATCCAGCTCATCTCTTTTATCCTTCAGTTTTTTAATCAAACTTTCAATAGCCTTCCGCCCGAACTCCTCATCAGGTCCCTTAAATACAGTTCAAAAATAATCAAACCAATTTTGTTATTCTTTTATCTCGAAGCGGCTCACAGTAAATTTCCAAGAATATTTCCAGTACAGTTGTTTTCAATATCAGATATCATAAAACCTCTTGAAAACTAAATGGTCACGTTCAGCGAATTAAGCAAGTGATGGACTTCAGTGAAGGTTGAAAAGCCAAACCATGTGATAAAGCATTAAACACTGCGCAATAGTTGCACAAGGATCTGAACTCGTTGGCCTCTGCGAATTAATCGGGAGTGGGCCTTGACTCGGATTTGGAGCAGACTGCATTCGGCAGTATGCTCTGCTACCACGCATTCTGCCAAAACTGTTTCTTCCCTACGTATAAACGCTTTTAGTAAGAAAAATGCAACAAAATCAGATAGTGCTTACAATAAAATGAACCAGAATAACGATCTACAATGCAACCTTCAATATTTTCATGGCCGAATACCCTTCGTGATTTAAATTGTAAAAACCCTAACGACTATCAGAGTACAGAATAAAACAAGATGAAACGCAGAAATATAATAATTTTTTATCGGAAAAAGCTAGGTAGTGCAAAGAGTAGCATACAGTGATAAATAAGGTGACAAGACAAGTTAGTAATCACAGCAATCAACTTTATTTAAAAGTTCTAAGAAAATTTTGGGAAGCTTAAATTTATACCATCATAACAGTAACAATAA